ACAACAACAACAGTTTTGGAAGTCATACTCTTCCCAAACTCTATATTTTAACTGGGAAAGTGGGGGGTCATTTTATACGCCCAGTCGTCTTATACGCCGGAAAATACGGCAGTTTATTTCCGCTTCTTTTTACTCTGGCTTTTTCCCTTTTAATGCAGCCACAGTGTGATTTCCAGCCACTTCGGGGGCATTTGTCATCTAAATGCCACACCCCCGAAGCAGCCTGAAAGCACTTCTTTTGGCCCATCTGTCTGACCCTGCAGCCACCCATGAAAAAAGTTCTGATTTTTGGAGCATTTCAAAATTATGAATAAGGAAGACTCAACCTGTACTGAATTATTATATAGGACTGGAAGACTCTTGGGTGAAGCATTTTGAAAATCATAAACCTCAATAAAGTGTTCAGTCTAAAATAAAGCACAAACTATGTGTTTTCTAAGACTTTAATGACTGAAAAATCTGAAAGAAGGGGGTTATAATCCTATTATCCCCTGATGATTTAAATTCCCCAAGCTTCCTAATCACAAATAAGAAAAAAATACAACATGGGTATCAATTTTCCCCCTACCTGCCTAGTTAACAACAGCTGCTGGGTGAAAGATTTAAAAATAAATAGCAAAAAGGGAGACAGTTAAAGCCTCTTTCCCTAATCCAAAATGACTCCCTTCCCTGCAGCTGCTTTTAACCAAAGAAATATCCTATTTCATGCTTAGCTGGACCCTAAGTGTTACACTGATTCAGAAGAAAGTACACTTTTGAATAGTTAACTTAATAGTAAGATAATAGTGGATTTCCTACCTCACCTAAGAGTTAGACTAGATTGTTTTTGAGTCCTCCTTCCAGCTCTTCGATTCTAGGTGCTTACCTGAACTGTCATAGGATTTTCTGCAGTGTCTGATTGTTCCCTCTTTACCTTCCAAGCCTTTTCTGTACTGGAAGACTCTGTAGTGGTAGCCTCTACCCATTCCTCTGAAGACTCCTAAGAACAAGAATGTCAAATCATAAAGTTGGCCTTAGGTGACTGGAAAGGCCTTTAAATTCTACCTGACCATTGAAATGTCATTTTAAAAATGCATAATCTTCCTTATCCATGCCAACAAAATAGTGAAAAACTGGCAGAGGGCTGCTTTTATCAGGCAGGAAAAGAAAGCATAAAGGGGACACTTTAGAAATTTCAGGGGAAATGTATTAAGAGTTTGAAGCTCTTTACAACTATTTATAATCAAATTAAAATATGAATCAGGCAGAACTTTAAGATTTTTAAGCCATTTTCCACAAGAAACATATGGAATCAATCTGTTAATTTGAACAACATCCTGATCAATATGAGACTATATACGACAATTAAATCTTGAAATGCATTGAAAATCTGAACACTCACGATACAGTTTTCTTGAATTAAAGTAGATACTTAAAACATGATACATTAAAGTCAAGATTCGATTACTGTTAAAATACCACATGATTCTTAAACAATCTTATCATTGTACTGTGGTGTATAAAATCTCAAAATGGAGACGGTGACACAAAAAGCAATTATAAACATGTACTGACTCCCTCCCTTTTTGCAATGATTAAGATATTCAGAAAAGAAACCTAATCGAGCTGCAGGCAAATATATTGGATAAGATAACTGCTACTTTGTTATGGAAATAAGTCAAACACAGAAATATGAACAGTCAAAACTAAGTATTAGACTTTACAGAGATAGCTACAACTGCCATAATCCCTGGACATACAGACTGAACCTTGTAGGATCTAATAGGGACCATTGATGATGCTCATCACAGCCAATGGAAGAGCATCACTAGAAGAATAGGTGGTACAACACAAGGATAACACTGATCTGAATGTCCCTTTAGAAGCACCATCACGATTAACTTGTTTGTGTACCAGAGCATACCTGATGACCAACAAATATTTGTGCTCAATGTACCACAAAACTTTGAAGAAACACACAGCAGAAGGAAGCCTTTTTTTTTTCAGAATGCTGTCTCCACTGGTTCCAAAAGCACACACAAACTTACAGAAATGTGTGCTAGCTTGCCCCTATATAAAGATGAAGTGAGCACTATTTTGTCAGCTCACTGAATAAACTGGATCTGCCACTGCTGCTGTGTTTGAAAAGCACTATGTGGCAACAAAGCTCCCTTCTTATCTTGTGAGGGAGTGTCTCAGACCCAGTGGCATGCACCAGGTGCAAGGAAAGGAAACACTTCTGCAAGTTAAGCAGGGAACACAGTTCTTCTCCACCTTCTGTTGGTGAATAAATAGGTTCTCTAGGAAAATGAGCCAACCCAGTCTCTCCCATATTACATTTCAGAGTGATTAGCCTTGGTTCCCTTCCAGGAGAAAGGCAGCATAAAAATGAAATAAATAAAATAAATTAACAAACAAAACTTAATAAAAAGTAAAACATTTCAGTGTCTGCCTTCTTTAGTTGGTAAAAACAAAAGTAAGCAGCATCCAAAGAGTTCTTGAAAATATCAATAAATGCATCAACAGGAATGATCCAGCAGATACTGTCTACTTAAAATTCCAAAAGGCTTTGATAAAGTTCCACATCAAAGACCAAGAGTTATAGGTTAATAACTGAGTTGGCCATATTTGCTGGTGACACCGAATTATTTAGGTTAATGAGATCTGAAACTGTTTGCAGAGTGCTCCAAAAGGATCTGTCCAAATTGAGAGATTGAGAAATAAAATGGCAAATGAGTTTGAATGTAAAATTATGCATATTTGAGGAGGAAATCCCAATTTTACATGATGGATCTGAGCTAGCAGTGACTGAGTAAGAAATGAATCTTGGGGTTAGTAGACAGCTTGATGAAAATATTGACAGGGTATGCAATAGTTATAAAAAAGTGAATTCCATCTCTGGTACTGTTGGAAAGATGTGGGACATGGTGGCTCAGTGGTTAAGACACTGACTCTGTCGATTGTAAGATTGGCAGTTCGAGGCCCAGGCACAGCATGATGGAGTGAGCTCCCATCACTAGTTCCAGCTTCTGCTAACATAGCAATTCGAAAGCATGTAAAAGTGCAAGTAGATAAATAGGTACCACTTCGGTAGGAAGTTAACAGCATTTTATGCAGCCATGTTGTCCACATGATCACGGAGTAGTCTTTGACAATGCCGGCTCTTCGGCTTAGTAATGGAGATGAGCACCACCCCTTACAGTCAGTCACACAGAATATAATTTTACATTCAAACTCATTTGCCATTTTATTTTACCTTTACCAGTACTGTTAGAAAGAGAACTGAAAATCTGTCAAAATCACACTGTACTTATAAAAGTCCATGGTATAACCATATTGGAATACTGTGTGCAATTTTGGTCACTGCAACCTCCTCCTCCCAAAAAAAGAAAACAAGGCATGATGTTAAACTGGAAGAGATGAAGAACAAAACAACCAAAATGATCACAGGGTTGCTTCAAGAAAGGTTGCAACGTCTATGACTGGTTAAAAAAAAAAAGTGATAGAGATATATGAAATTATGCATCTTCTACTCTTTAACTGTGTGTTGTGTGTAAAAGTCCTTTGATCTGTTGTGAATCTTCACATTTAGTTTCAGTGGATCTGATTGAGACAGAAAATGGCAAGATCTCTCTCTCTCACACACAAACACACAGCACTTAAATGTCTGGTGATCCACTGCAACTAAATGAGGAGATTCACAACAGATACAAAGGACTTTTACACACAACACACAGTTAAACAGTAGAAGATGCACTGAAGGCTTTAAAAAGGACTGAATGAATTCATGGAGCATGGACCATCAATAGCTACTTGGCAGGATGGCTTATCAACTTCCAGGATCCCAGGCAGTACTGTCTGTACTGTCAGTCCTCTGCATCCACGGATTTCTTATCCACAGAATCAACCATGCATGGCTTGAAAATATTTTTATAATATGTAAATTCCAAAAAGCAAACCTTGATTTTGCCACTTTATATAAGTAGTACCATTTTATCTAATGAGACTTGGGCATCCACAGATTTTGGTATCCACAGGGAATCCAGGACCCAAATTCCAGTGGATACCAAGGACCCACTATATTATCAGTTGCTGAGGAAGACAAAATGGAGAGTCCAGCTGTAGTCATGTCCTGCTGGTGGTTTTGCCACAGGAACTAACAGACCACTGGGCTAACAGTATGTTGGGTTACGCAGGCTTTTGACCTGATCTTAGAAGACTCTTCATATATTTTTATTCTACAAGTCACTTTTGTACATAAGAAATTAGCTGACTGTATCTACACTATTTGTATATGCCACACCAGTAATTGTACTTCAAATATATAACCCTTTTAATAGACCTAATTATAATCTCAAATACATCTGCAATACAGGATTTGGCATAATAACTACTATTGGATGACTCAGACAATAAACTTACAGAAGAGCTATCAGATGATTCATTGTTTTTTTCTACTTTATATTTCTTCCTCTTCTTTTCTTTTTTATGTTTTTTTGAATGCTTCTCCTTTTTCTTCTTTTTTGTAGCAGAGTGTTCCTACATTTAAAAAAATATATCAATGTGTCAGGCCACAAGGTTAGAAGCAGCAAGGTCTGGCTTATTCTGTCATTTTTAAATTGCAGAACATCTTTAATACCAATAAAACAAGCACTCTTTCTCTCCCCATTGATTAATATTTACATTGCACAATAATGACAACAAAAACAACTGTTGCCCTTTTAAAATAAATATAAATATTATTCTGTAATAATTTAAAGATTTTGTTGATTAATGTGCAATCAATCTCTCCTATTGTTTCACAATCAGTCCCAACTTAGGGGAAAATGCAAGATATAAATAAAGTTTGTGATCATTATACTTCATCACCACCACCAGACACATGAAAATGCAAAATCATGCTCTAACGTTGCTTGGTTTTATTAATATGATGGAAGTATATAAAACCAGAATTGGTTAGATTTTTAAATGGATGCCCTTTATATGTGATAAATGCAAGTCAGTATTGGGTCAAACAAAGAGCCAGCATGGAGTAATGGTTTTAGCATTGGACTAAGGCTCTGGAGACCAGAGTTCGAATCCCTGCTTGGCCATGTAAACCCACTGGGTGACCTTGGGCAAGTCACACTCTCTCAGCCTCAGAGGAAGGCAATAGCAACCCCCCTCAAAGAAATCTTGCCAAGAAAATCCCATGACAGATTTGCCTTAGGGATGCCATAAGTTGGAAATGACTTGAAATACACAACAACAACGACAAGTCAATACAGTGCTTTGAAAACCATATGGATTTCCCAGTGGATTTCAAAGTGTTAGCCAAGTTAGTCTCTTGTAGGAAGAAGGGAGGGGGAGAAAAAAAGTAATGTGGCAATACAATATAAATGGACATAAATTGGAAACGACTTGAAGGCACACAACAACAAAAGTGGTGTATTAATACAAGTTTTTATTCATTACTGCTACAAACATTACCTTTTTTAAATCTTCTAAACGATCATTCACATCAGAAAGCATCCACGTATCTTCACCTTGGAGACGCTTTAGCTCTTTCATTCTCTCTTTTTTTTCATAATCAGCTTTTGCCTAAAATGAAAAAAGCAAAGAGGATAAAAAATGATAGAATTTTTAATAGTTATAGTAAATAAATATTGGTTAATAAACATACATGAAATAATGACTTATCTAAAGCAGCTCTATTAAGTAAAGCTTAATTTACTTTGGGAATGGCAGATTTTTTAAAAAAAGAAAGAATATTATAATCAGCTCTATTTCTTCCTCAAAATTTGTAATTAAGATCTGAAAACAAAAATATACGTGACCAGTAAAGGCAAAAAAATCAAATTCTAACCATATTGTATTTTTATGGCTAAAATATAATGTCATTCTGTAAAATATATCTTGTGGTTTATACAGACACAGGCTCTATGTTCATCAAACATGTGAAGAACCAAAGTTGATAGAATTTACCCATTCAAAGAGATCTTGTAGCACTTTTGAGACTAACTGAAGGAAAGAAGGTGATAGCATGAACTTTCGTAGACTTGTGTCTTCTTTCTCAGATGCGTGGAAATATGCATCTGAGGAAGCAGGCTCAAGTCCACGAAAGCTCATGCTACCAACTTCTTTCTTTCAGTTAGTCTCAAAGGTGCATACTTCTTTTACAGACTAACATGCCTATATCTTTTAATTTACCCACAGTCCTTACTCATTTTATTATTTTACCAAAAAAAAAAAAAAAAGATGTACAATCATCCCTACATAGCCACAAATCCTTAATCCATGGATTCTACCATCTACAGCTTGAAAATATTACAAAATGTTACAAATTCCAAAAAGCAAACCTTGATTTTGCTATTTTATATAAGGGGAACCATTTTACTATGCCATTGTATTTAATGGGACTGGAGCATCTGTGGATTTTGGTATCCATGGAAGGTCCTGGAGCCAAACGCCAGCGGATACCAGGGGTCCGCTGTACTAATTTACCCATGGTTCTTATTCATTTTACTAAGTCTTTCACAAATGTAGTTGCCTACTCCCATAAACCTCTGCACTGGGAAATCATAGAAACATAGTTGGAAAAGGCCTCATGGTCCAAACCCCTGCTCAATGCAGGATCTCCAGCTAAAGTATCCCCAGCAGGTAGCTGTCCAGCCTCTTTATGAAGATGTCCAGAGAAGGAGAGACCCCCATCACTTCTCTAGGCAAATGGTTCCACTGCTAAACTGCTCTTACTGTTGAGAAGTTCCTTCTGCTGTTCAGTCGAAATCTATCCTGGTCCTACCCTCCTGGGCAGCAGAGAACAGGTCTGCCCCCTCCTCTCTGTGACAGATCTTAAGGTATTTAAGATGCCATCATGTCACCCTTCTGTCTTCCTCTCACCATATCCAGCTCCTTCAATCTTTCCTTCAATCTTTTGTTCTCCATACCTCTTAAACTCCTTGTTGCCCTTCTCTGAACCTGATCCAATTTGTCTATATCTTTAAAAAAAATGAGGTGCCCAGAACTGAACACAGTACTCCAGATGAGGCCAGACCAGTACAAAATATAATAGCCTATTACTTTCCTCAGCTTGGAAATTCTGCTTCTATTACTGCAGGCTAAAATAGCCCTCACCTTCAATGATAAGAATCAGGTACATGGGCTATTCAGACTAAGGTCCAAAACACACTACAGAAGTAATCCAGTTTGCGACCACTTTAACTACCCTAGCTCAATGCTAGGAAATTCTGGGAACTGCAGTTTTGAGAGACATTTAGGCTTCTCTGTCAGAGAGCTCTGGTGCCACAATAAACTACAATTCCCAAGCTTCCCCTAGCACTGAGCTAAGGCAGTTAAAGCGGTCTCAAACTCGATTATTTCTGCAGTGTGTTTTGGCCCTAAAACCTTCAGGTTTTCAATAGCACTGTGAACAGATCTGGGTCTTTCCACTTAGCATAGCAGCATGAAACATCAATGTCAAAACAGCAAGTATTTTACCTAATGTATTGCAATGTGCGTGCCTACTTCTATGACAAAACACAAGGCATAGATGCAAGCTGGAAGGACAGGTAGTAGGGCTGAGTCAAAAAGAAAAACAAGTAACATACATGCCATCCTTTTTACGCCACCAATCTTCCATCTCAAGCTGTGATCTAAACACATCCTTCAGTCTAAAGGTTTAAACAATACAATTTGGGTAACCTTTGTCTTACAAGTTTCAGGCAAGACCAGATGTTACTGATGACATATAGATAATCCTGCTACTCAAAGGGACACCCTTTGAGTTGTTTCAATTGTTTCTTCCTCCCACTTGAAAAATAATCCAACAGAACAGAATGGATGATGTGACATTAGTTTCACCATCTTACTATGCTGGCTTACCATTGATTGGGAATCAATGGCATCATCATGCTTTTTTTTTTTTTTTTTTACTAAAAATAACTAAAAGAAAGTTGTTTTCAAAGGCAGACAAGCATTTTCTGTGATGTCTAGAATCATAGAATTGCAAGAGAACACAAGAGTCATCCAGTCCAACCCCCCGTTATGCAGGAACTTACAATCAAAGCACCCCTGACAGATGGCCATCCAGCCTCTGTTTAAAGACCTCCAAAGAAAGAGACTCCACCAGCTTCCCAGGGAGTGTGTTCCACTATCAAACAGCTTATATTGTCAGAATGTTCCTCCCAATGTTGAGGCAGAATCGCTTTTCCTGTAGCTTCCTACTATCTGGAACTGCAGAAAACAAATTTGTTCCATCCTCAATATGACACACCTTCAAAAACTTAAACAGGGCTATCATATCACCTCTTAACCATCTCTTCTCCAGACTAAACATACTCAGCTCCCTTAGTCTCTTCATAAGGCATGGTTTCTAGACCCTTCACCATTTTTGTCACCCTCCTCTGGACACATTCCAGCTTGTCAACATCCTTTTTGAATTGTGGTGCCCAGACCTGGACACAGTATTCTAGGTAAGGCCTGACCAAAGCAGAATAGAGTGGCACTATTACTTCACTTGATCTAGACACTAATACTTCTATTAATGCAGCCTAGATTCTCATTGGCCTTTTTAGCTGCCCCATCACACTATTGACTCACGTTAAACTTTGGTCTACCAGGACTCCTAGATCCCCTTCACATGTTGTCTTATTAAGCCAGGTGTCCCCAACCCTATATCTATGCATTTCATTTTTTCGCCCTAAGTGCATTTATCTCTAGTTAGTCTACCTTTTGTCACTCAAGACAAAATTAGGACCATTTTATCATAATGAACATCCAGCCAAAACATAGCTCAGATTTTTAACCACACAATGACACCATGTATCATCCAGCGTAAATGAAACAGAAACATGTAATGTAATATCTGAATCCAGATATTTACTCTTGAAACAAAACGCCATCTTTTCAGACCAATACAGCAGGAACTACAAGCAGTATATTAGTGTTAAACAGGGAGAAGAAGAAAATACATCATGTACTGAAAGCTTCTAAATAAATGAATGGGCAAAACAAACCATTAGACTTCTCCTCTTTAATTAAGCTGCAACATTTCTATCTCCACAAAAAACACATAAATACACATTACAATTCCTTCCTCTCTAGATATTCCATTAGCCCCAAATTTAGGTCTCTCTCACTTCAACCACCTCACTGATTATTTTGTTGTCACTCAAAGTCACGCTGCAGTAACCTCTTGTCCCATTTGCTTAATGCAATCCCACATAGCTCACTGACACCAATCTTTTTCGCCCCTTCTGTATTTTTATAATTAAATACCCAGCTAGTTGCAGGTTTCTTTCCCGTACAGGAAAAAAAAAAAAACAGGCCTAATTGTTTCACATTTCTCAACTCTCACCCAGAGCAAGCATTTTATTCTGAGCCAGAGCTCATTAGCACTGTCCAATACCACAGAAATACCCACCAATTTTCCTTTTGCCCTTACAGATTAATTTCTCCCCTCCAGTAATTTCACCTCATGTCATGAGCAGAGGCTGCATTTAACTTCTGTTGTTCCAAACACATTAGGAGGTCTGACGCTTTAAAGCACCTAACAGATGGTCCCCCTCTCTCACACGCACAAACACACCAGCCATCAACAACAGGAACTTGTAGGACTCATGCCTGCAGCAATGTGGTGGAATGGCCCTTAAAATTTCCTAAATGCAGTCTGCAATGGCAAACCAGCACAAATAAAGGCCATCTTTCAAATCTATTTAAGAATTTGAGGATATTTATGTTCACAACATAAACTTCAATATTTATAACAATGCACCATCATACATAGGATGCATAGGGACTGTTGCCAAAACCAGGATGGACTATGCATTTTGACATACTGTATATATACTCATGTATAAGTCTAGAAATTTTAATCAAAAAATTGACCCCCAAAAACTGAATCTGCTTATTCATGGGTCAAAGTAAGTACTGTATTTTAATTCTTATTTTATAAAGGAACAATCCTCTGGAGAAAGGTAAGAGCATAATTTGTCCTGGAAGCAATGAACCCATTCTATTTTCTCATCTATCCAGCCTTTTTATAAGCACAAACAGTTGTTGTTGTTGTTGTTGTTGTTTTCTTATATCCTGCCTTTCTCCCAACATAGGGACTCA